AGCAGCATGGAACAGAAATGCAGAAGTCCTGACTCTTCCCCCAGGTGTTGGGCTACGATGGAGGTTGAGTTGGAAGGTGGTTTTGTCTGGCCCCTGTGGGTGAAGTGTAATTGTTTTATTGATTATTGTGAGGTGCCTAGAATTATTATATGAACTGGGCAGCTATATAAGAATGTAAATAAATTAAAAATATAGCAATACTGTACAGCAGTATCTATGAGAATACAATGGCAATGGCAATGGATGAAGCTCAAACTGAATTCTTGGCAATAACAAGGAATAGCTATGCCCATTTGTCAACAGCATTGTGTGTTGCGGTTTTTGTTTGACTGTATCTTGGGAAGTAGGAGCTCTGTTTCTTCTCAGCAAAGGGCTTTTGATAATGATATAGGAGTAATTACTGGAAGGAGAAAATGGGCAGCAAGGAAGAATTAACTGAACATTTTGGACTTACACTACTGATTGAACTAAATAAAGTGTGTTGCTATCCTACTGAATGATTTTATTAGTATGTAAAGGATTCAATATAGCCAAACAGAATGATTCACTGACACATATTCCTATATGTCTTGAAACCTTGCTTAGTATCCATTTGGTTACTCAAAAACAGGGATTCAATTCATAAAAGGGGTATCGTATATGAAGAGTCATTCAATATTCAGCCCTTGTTCATGCACTTAGATAAGGATATGCTGAAAAGAGTTGGTGAAGAAGCAACATGCTGAACACAAGAGCTTCCTTATAAGATAAACCCTCTCTTTTCTTGCCTGTTAAAATAATTGACTTATAAATGAGGAATAGACAAGGTCTTAAGGAAAGCAATTTGTGTTTTGAAGTTCCACCCTAGACTGAAGCAAAGATGCCACAACTCCCATTTGGGATGCTCACTTGTGATCGGTTATTATTTCATCATTATGCTCGAAGTTTCTGAAATCAAAGATGCTGATAGCTCTGTTACACAACTCACTTAGCTTTCAGTATATGAACTATTGTCTCTTTGAAAGAAATAGCTGTGTCATCATCATCGTCGCCATCGTCGCCATTGTCATCATCGTTATCATCATCATCACCAACAACACCAACACCAACACCATTATTTCTTTTTCTTAGTTTCCATAACTAAGAAAAGAGAGCCGTAATCTAACTATGTGGGCAAGGTTTGTGCTATATTTTAAACCAATATGTGGATGACTAATAAGTTATTTAGTTTTGGCCCTTTTTCAAGCTGGCTTTTGAAAATTGAGTATATTAAACCATAAATTGTTATCATCATCATGCCCTTCATCCACACAGTAATATTGATAGGCTCTACTTGCCAAGGAAAATAGGTTGGTGTTGAATGTTGCTAGTTCACCAGACATTTGAAAAAGAAGAAAAAGGGGGCTTTAGAAGAATATCTAAAGCAGAAGCCCCCAATCCTTTGGGCACTGGAGACCAGTTCCATGGAGAGAGGTTTTTCCACAGACCGTAAGGTGCATGGTTTTGTGTGCTGCCTGCATCTCACGGATGGGGCTTTACTTTTGTTTGCATGGACCAGTTGTTGGCATGCCACGGCCCAGTACTGGTCTATGGACTGGCGGTTGGGAACCCCTGATCTAAAGTACAGTGAAGAAAATGCACTAAAACTAGTACAGTATACCATGAAAGCTTACTGAATACTGGAAATACCAAATTGGCTTACAGAGAAAAACCAAATGAATAATAGAAAAGAGGCAAGGCAAGTATTACATGGCTAGCATATAAAAATATAGTAGGCAAAGCAGATAACAATAAGAACTAGCAATAGGTAAGAACAGCAAAATTGAAGAAAGAGATAGATAGATAGATAGATAGATAGATAGATAGATAGATAGATAGATAGATAGACAGACAGACAGACAGACAGACAGACAGACAGACAGACAGACAGACAGACAGACAATTCTGGCCATACAAGATGAAGCCTTTCAAACAAATGCATACAAAGCCAGAATTGAAAAGGCAGCAATAGATAGCAAGTGCCACCTCTGCAAAGATGCTGAAGAAAGAGTGGAACGCCTAATTAGCTGCTGCTAGAAACCCATACAGAGTGACTACAAGCAATGTCATGATGACAAAGTAGCAACAATGGTGTATTGGAATATTTGCAAAGCAATATCATTTGCCATAAGCAAGAACTGGCAGCACCACAAACAGACAAAGTAATAGAAAATGAAGAAATTGAGGTGTTCTGGGACTTTAGAATTCAAGCAGACTAGCACCTGCCCCCAGACTTAACAACTGTTGATAAGCAAGACAAAAACAAAAGTCTAGAAAAAGGACACTAGCTATTGATATGATTGGTTTGAAAGAGGGGTAAAAGAGGCCATCTATCTTAAAATTGAACAGCCCTCTCTCAACATAGGGGGAGGGATAGGATGCCACCTATATCCTGCCTACAACACAGGAAGATTCCACACCCATTTGCACTCTGATTCAGGTGATCCTGAGAGTACAGATAAACTACCAAGTAGCCTCAATGACTCTCAGAGAGCTAATAACTGACCTTCAGAATCCTAACAACCAGATGACTGCAAAGAATATAAATCCTTCCATTCCCCACCATTCAGTCATAACTGAAGAAGCTTCTTAGATGGGAAGCAAAACGTTTTCAAGGAAGAAAAAACAAAGGAAGTCCAGTTGCCTTTTGAAAAGCACCTTTGGGACATAATGGTCACTGCAATACCTGGAGACAGCAAAAAGGAAGAGAAAGAAGGGAAGAAAATAACAGAATACAAAGATCTGCAAACAGAAATAGCACAGCTGTGATAAAAGAAAGCAAAGATAGCACTAATAGTGATGGGCGACCTGAGTGCAATTCCAGAACAACTGGAGCACCTCTTGAACACCATCAGCATTGACAAAATTACCATCCATCAGTTGCAAGAAAGCTTTACTTGGAACAGCTTACATCCTGTGACAATATCTTTAACGCTACCAAACATTAACATTTGCCTATCCCAGGTCCTTGGGAAGAAGTTGATAGGCTGATAAAAATGCCAAATCCAGGCTAAACTTCTGACCAACTGCGACTAACCATAATATTTTTTACTACTGCTACTACTACAGGTGAATATTTTCAGGACAGTTAATTTTAATCCACATGCTTTAGGTGTCAGTTTTTTTATAAGAGCTAAGAGGGACTGATTTTCCCAAGTACTGAATTAAACTGAATTATATAATTTAGATTTTACAATAGTCAAAGCAGTGCCACATAGTTCAAAGTACCCCATTGTTTTCTTGCAACATAGAGAATGAAATATCTTTTTTTAATGCTTTACTATATAGCTTAACAAATATTTTGCTTTGTGATATTTTGAAAGATCCAATCCATTATTACGATCACATGGTTCTCAAGGCTCCTGGGGTGACACTCTTTTCTTCCTATTTTCAGGGAATAAAACTGAAATATCCAGATTTCCTGGATGAGGCTCTAGGTCAGGGGTGTCAAGTTGCCGGCCTACAGGCCGGACGCATCATCAGGAAACCACGCCCACCCCATTGCCGGCAATGACAAAAAAGCTCCGATACATTGCGCGACATCACGTGACGTCGCAAGTTTGACATGTCTGCTCTACGTTCTCTGGGAATAAAGTGTTGCTGGGGAAGCTTTTATGGATTGAAAACCCCAGTTAACGGGCCTAAAATGCTTCACAGAACAAGAGTTTACTCGAGCCTGAGGCTTGTCCCTGTACTTGATGCACCTAACTTGAGGGAGAATTTGTTTATTCCTTTTCAAAGGATTGAAATTATCATTGTTGTGTCCACAAAATATTACCTCACCCAACAATAGTTTCGAAATTTTCTATTTTCAAGTCTAACGTCTACAGCTCTATCTGTGAGAAAGCCACCCTGAAATACTGCGGGCTATGGCTATGTCTTGTCTGAATGAAATGATTCCCCATTTCTGATTCATGTAGATCTAGCCCAAATATTAGTTCCCTCACTTGTAGCAACTCTCTAGACTTTAGAGTTTCAACATGGCAGTGATGGAGAATGAAACTCAGACCTCTTGCAGACTCTAAGCTGGCTTTCAAAACAAAGCCACTACTCTAGTGGTTTGAGCTAGAAACCAGAAGACTGAGTTTTACTTCTACCTTAGGCATGAATGCCAGCCAGGTGACTTTGGTCAGTCAGTGTCTCAACCAACCCACCTCACAAGGTTGTTGTTGTTGTGGGGAAAATAGGAGGAGGAAGAAATATTAGATATGTTTGCTATTTTCAGTTGTTTATAAGAGTAAGGTGGGATATTTTTTTTAAAAAAAGTTCAACATATAGATGTGTTCTCTTTCTGCTTTCTCAGATTCAAACCCTCTTAATGCTGCTGCCAAATTGGTAGTTTAGCGTAGAATATAATTACATTATCGTTGGAAAATGCACAAACAATGCCAGCAAATAAGGAGACTTTGTAGAAAGTAGACTATATCTTCTAAACAACTGTCAGTTGAGTCAAATCTACTACAAAGAATAGATTGCAGTTTTTAAGAAGTCTCTACCAATTCACAGAACTCATTTCTAAGAAAAAAAGTCTGTTATTTCCTGCCTGTATAGTTAAGCTGAAACTACACAAAAAGTTAGTGAACTCTCCCATTTAATTTTGATAGCTTAAATTTCACAGTTAATGACAAATGAATAATTTTCACACAAAAAAATCTTTGTAAGTCTCAAAGAACAAGTCAAACTGAGAAGTTGCTTGGAAACAACCTTATTTTTCATTATTATGTATCAATCAGCTCAAAGTATCTCTCCAGTCTTTCTGGAACCTTCTGGACTACAGTTGCAGAAATCTCAGCCACCAATGGACATTCTGAAGGGAAATTCTGAGAATTTTAATTCAGTGAATATGAGGATTCCCAAGTTAGGAAAACCTGCTCGCTTCTGGGTTTTGTTTTATTTTTAAGAAATGTTTTTCAGCCATTTTGGCACTTTTACCCACCCTCTGCAGAAAGACTTACTCAGAGAAGAGGCTGCATGATACATACCCACTCCAGTCTTCTTATCACTTTTGTGCCAAGGAGGCATTGCTAGGGACTCCAGCAGTAAGCCGTGATTCAGGGTGGGTGGCTGGGATGGACTGTTCCGATTAATACAAATGAATCAGAACGTAACTTTGGCTGCTGCAGCAGCAGGTTTGGGCTGTGTGGCTCTCCCTGTTCCTCTTCTTCCTTCCTCTTTTTGTATCTGCGCACTCTCCTCAGTGTAAGGTTCTTACACCAAATGAAAGTGATACTTAAATGGGCATGTCTTGCTTGACAGAAGAACGACAGAAGAAGTAAAGTCATGTTCCAGATTAAGCAAATCAGGCAGCTTTATAGCATAAAGCTATAAAGCCTATCAGAGATCAATTCTTCAATCAGTCATTTGGGAGGAGGGGGGTCATCAAAATAATTTTATCTGGAAATGGCAGATCTATCAGAACATGCTGTGACAGTCAACTTATGTTTTACAATATAGAGATTGTAATGTAAACTCACGCAAAAAGATGCTTCCTCTTCCACGGAAACTATACAGCTTCAGCTAAATCTTCCAAACATTTGGAATATTGCTCCATTTTATACTAAACTTCTTTCAAGTGCCATGGAAAAAATCAGCATCGATTGCTTTACTGTAAGTGGTTGCCATAGTGACTTAATTTTCTACCAGCATACCCGAGCTGACATAATCAATTGATATTATGGATTACTGTACAAATTTAGCCCTACCAATTATATCTTCCCTTAGAAACAGAGTTGATGTTATAATTAAAGAGTACAACTAAGTTGCGTGGCTACAATCAAATTGGTCTTCATATAAACGTAGCTACACTGAAATTAAGATTCCTTTTGGTAGATAGCAAAGAGTTTTGCAACATGGTAAGACATGGTTTTGGATAATGCATGAACTGACATTATAGGTTAAATTATTTAAGATCCTTAAACCCAGTTTGTACCCATGGTTTCTTTCAAGTAAACTCACCCTTATCACAGTAATGTGTCATCTGAATCTGGCTTTAAGGGTTATTTTTCTCCACATTTCAAAACAAAGAGGTTAAAATATAATTAATTACTTTGTGGTTCATATTTTGTGAACCCAACTAGAAAAGTTAAATTGTAGTTCAAAGTTATGCAAATGGAGTCAACTGAGTATAAACTATGCTCTGAATTCATCAGGATAAAGCATTCTGACTTTAGCGAATCTTTGGTTACAGGGAGAAAAACACTATTTGATACATATTCTAAGTACTTCAGTGTCTAACTTTAATGTTTGTGATTGTGACAACAAAATAGCATTGAATAGTTTGGCTTCTTACCTTAATTCCAGATTCAAGAAATTCCAAAGTTCTCATTATACCAATTATTCTGTAATCATGCTTGTAATCAGGTTATACTTCATGCTATTGCATTGTCCAAATAATTATTCTATTCATGCTGATTTTTAAGCAATATTTTATATTGTTATAGATGGACTGCAATATAATTTATCTAAACAGGTAAGGATCTTAACAATGCAATGGTTTGAAATCAATATTCCACCAAGAAGACACTGAAAATTCCACCAAATCTAATTAAGATCCTGTCCAAAAATGAGAAAATCTGTGATTCTGCATCCATAATTTTGAGGACATTATCCTGACAGAGGATCAGAACCAAGGACACATCATGCCTAAGGAGAAAGCAATACAATAGTAAAACACAATGACACATCACCACATTGTTTAATGTCGGCAATCCCCACTGCCATTGTTAAATGCGGATACCTGTTCGTTAAAGGAGGATTTCCTTACAACTTCCTGCCAGCTTCCAATAGGCAAAGTCAATGAAGAAGTTGAAAGTTGCAAATTCCCCAACAGGCAGATAAGAGGCTGCTGCAAAATCGGGAAGGTGTGATGGCTCTCATGACACAAGTGTAGTAGTGTGGTTGTTGCTGGGTATGCGGATGGCTGGCAGAACCACAGAGAGCCAGGAATGGTTGCTGCCAAACACTTCATAGTGCACAAGTAGCTGCTATGATACGTGTGCAGGAGTGCATGGATGTGACAGGGCTGGTTGATGCCAGATGTATCATGGTGTGCAATTGGTTATCAGAGTATGACTCTTGTGCAGCAGGTGGCTGCTGACAGTTACATAGGTGGCCAAAGATACTGTAGTGCTCACACGGCCAGCTGTTAGTGGGTGTAGGAGGGGCTATAGGAGCATGTCACAAGTGCAGCCTGGCTGCTGCTGGATGGGGGAGGTATGAGGAGTGGCAGTGAGGGTGTGACACAAATACAGTGCATCCAGTGTTTTCTCGAAAGTAGGGCCTAGCCCGAAAATTAGTCCTAGCTTGATTTTGGGGGGGGGTGAGCCTAATATAAGCCTACCCCCAAATAAGCCCTAGTTTTGGGGCAAGGCATACCTAAAAATCAAGCTAGGGCTGGGGTGTGGAGCTGCCCCAGATGCCCTGCACCCTCTTACCTTGCAGCCAGGCCTCCCCTCGCCAGCCCACTTCTTCTGAGGCATCTTACCTTACAGTCAGGGCTTTCCAAAAAGAAAAAAGAAAGACCCGGTCTTATTTTCGGGAAAACACAATATGTAGGGAATAGTGTGCAAGTGGGTGTCGTGGGAGGAGTGCTGGGGGTGCCATAGCCAGACACCCCAGGCAGAAAAGCTGCTGAAGTACAAGTGACTTATCAGAGAAACTTGAGGTCATCTCTGCTGCTTCTGCATTGACTTAGCTTGTGGAATGCCAGTAGGGTAGGCTGCAAACAGTGATAACGTGATGCAGGACATTTCAATTATCTTAAATACAAGCCAGTTGCCAAGTATCTAGATTGTGATCATGTGACCACAGGGCTGCTGGTATGTCTGGAACTTCAAAGATGTTCATGAATATGATTGTTAAGCACCAGTGTAATTTTGAATGGTCACTGAACAAGTGCTCATTAACCAAATATTATCTGTACTTTCTTTCCATACTTCAATGGACCGCCTGGCAAACCTTTTCAGGTGTGTGTACCTCAATTTGGAGACAATTGTTTTAAGGAAGGACAAGATATAAACCCACGGAAGCTCTTTATTAAACAGCTAAATCTCTTGGCCTTAGTGATCAATAAGTTTGAAGGTGCAAACCCAGTGTAAAAACTGAATTCTAATACTATATTGCATTACAATACCTGGTGGGGTGTGTGTGTCAAAAAGTCCAAATAGTGATGTGACTAGGATGTAGTATATATTCATTACATGAATATCCCTGATTACTCTTTAACTTCATTATGGAACACCTATGCCTTGTAAAGAGGATACGTTTTACCCCCATTAAGCTCAGAGGTATGTCTGCTCCATCTTGATTGGCTATCTCAATTTGGCATAAACAGTGTATACAAAACCATACAAATAATTGGAAGCTCTTTCCTCAGCTCTACAGACACCCAGTTCCTTATTTAGCACTTGGCATTACTTGGCATAAACTTTATCTGAGACAACTCAATTAAGTTAAAATTTCTAGGCTTTCTCCCTTTCCTATCCTTCCAAGTTAATAGATATTCAGCTAACCTTTTGATGCCCTCAAGAGACATTTAGATTTTGTTTATATAATTCTCAGTAGCCTGGCAACATGTTGCTTCCTGCCCTACCAGGCTCAGCCCTTGCATCTTATCTGCATAAGGCAAGGCAGGAGCTCCACTGATTTTACAGCATCAACCAACTTTCATTCAAAATGAATCATGTATTCAAATAATTATACAATTCAAATAGTTATAAAATGAAACATGTTTCAATTTGACACAATGGTGTATGGATTCTCTTTTTAGTAGAAAACTACAATTTTGCTAAGGGAGAAGCAACCAGAAACAGGTAATGCATTTTACACCTCTGAAATTTTATTTAATATTTATTACAAATGAATGAAACTATTTGAAAATTTTATTTAATTAATACATACATACAAGTAGAGCAAAATAGTGCTATGTTACACTCTCATTAACATATATTACATCCATTTATTTATATCTAGTCTTACATTTTCACTTGGAATTTATATAAAGAATGGATTATATACTAGTATGAATAAACTGCTAGTAAGCTGCATACTAATATTTTTCTTACAGATTTGCAGTTTTTAAAAATATACTATATGAAACTTACAACTGAAGTACCAACTTCAAACTGTTCAGGCGTTATGTTCAACTGATATTATTAAAAAGCACTGAACAAAATAATTTATCATCACTTATTCTGCAACAGCTTTCCCCAATCTGGAACCTTCTAGATGAATTGAACTAAAACTTTTATCATTCCCAATCAATACAACTATTGGTTATATTGACCAGAGGTAATGAGAGTCACAGTCCATACATCTGGAACCTTGCAGATTGGGGGGCAGGCTACTTCAGATACATTTGAAAGGACTCACAAAAGTGACAAAAACATTCATTGTTGAGTGCATTGATTTTCAAAGTTTTGCTTGGAAGATACATATGTTATGGGATAAACATTCTTTTTGGTTTTCTTCTTGTGCTTGGATATATCTTCAACTGCACCAAGATGATTTTCTTCAATCTTTAAACCAGGGTCAGAGGTTAACCTATAGTTAAAGCAACCATTCGAGTTTCACATTAAATATAAACATTTACCTGTCTTCAAACTACATTAAGCATGCCATTAGTTCCCAGTTCCCACATTACTTAGCTTTTGAATGCTAAATTCATGCCAAAAAGGAAAAAGTGGATAGAAAAAAGCAAACAAGCAAAGATTAAAAACAACAAAGAAACCATTTAGCTAATAAATTACATTACATACAGATATAGTTGGAAGCTTAATAATATACCAGATTTATTAGCCCATGTTTTACATCAAATTAATATTTGATGGATATATCTGAGATCTATTTTAACTGAGCTACCGTAGTACATAAAGTGCATCAAAGACTAAGCTTATACTGTTTCAAACAGGATACCCCAAAAAAATCTGTGTTGCATAAGTTAAACTACTTTTTGAACAACCATACATCTTTTAACACAAGAGCTAAATAAATAGGCAGAAAAATCTTTTAGAAAAAAGTAAATAGTATCACTGTGTATGTAAGGAGGGGATTCAGTTCACTAATGTAGTATTAAATAATTATGGATTTGCAGGAGTAAATGATATACAACAATACTAGTTATAAAAGATGGTGGATATAGATAGATAGGTTTTTTGACACTGTTCTAAATTATATCTCCAAATTTTGGAATTTGATCATTGAGGAGTTATGGTTGCATTGGGCCTAAATGTTGCTAAAAAAAACAAACCCCAGGAAAAGTAGTAATATTCCTGATATATTAAGGACTGAATTCAAGAGATCTGTGAATTGTTCATTTTTGAAATCACAAGTTTATCCACTAGTCAAAAAATGAGGAAGAGAAAGAGAAGTTTGTTAAGTCAATTGAATGTAATAAAATATGCAAAATGTAAATAGATACAAAAAAAAAATGTTCATAATAGTCACTCCTACAGTAGGGCCCAATCTGATCTACTATAGGTATTCTGTTTTCTTTGAGATGGCTTTTGAAATTAAGAATGCAATCTTACTGGTGATATGCAGATTTGTTCCCTGCAATAGGTAAGATTGTTTTTAGTTTTTAAAAAATATTTTTTAGTTTTTAAATAAGGGTCTGTGTAAGCAGCCCTTTCTGGAGAATATAATCTGCCATCAACAAGAATGTCTCCTATGTCTTCAGTGGCTGATGATCCACAAATACAATCTTTCTTCAATTGGAACTCCATTAAACCTCCCATGTCTTACCATGGAGTTCAGTTGTTCAAAGCAAGTTTTTGAAAGAGCTGCTGAAGCATGTAAATTATTAAATATTTTTCTCACTGATTTGGGTTGAGCCAGCCACTTCAGACACTTGACACATTTAAGTGCATTATATACATACATTTTGCAATACTAGAGAATAGTTGATTTTTGTTAAAAAGTTCTTCCTTTTAATTTGGTCAGCTGTTGAAATCTGATGTTTGATATGTGACATATATAAATGATTTCCCCCTTTTGTTTTATTTTCTTTTATTCTAGTTATGCTGGGCAGCTATTTTTTTATAGTTTTTCAATCTATTTATTTTCCTATTTTAATTCTTGTCTAGTTCTTTCTATAAAACTTTAGATAAATTAAAAAAGAAAATCTGTATTAATTTTTGCAATTTACATTGACAATACTATAAAGATGTAAGCAAAATTTTAATAATTAGTGAATGTATGTAGGGAATGTATTGAAAAAAATGGGTTGTAGCTAAATGAGAACTCTTTATGTCTTCCAAATAACTTTAATTCACCTTCGGAGAGATGTTACCCCCCAATTGGGGGCAAACCAACCTCAACACTTAAAATTAACTTTTTCCATAAAACATTAAATGCCATTCCATAGTCTTCCTCTAAATTTGATATCCTTCCTCTGTAATCCCACTAACTATCCTACCTTCTCTAATCATTGTGGTTCTTTCACAGATCAAGCTTTCCATTCCCACATACCCACTTCACATATCACTTACATGCGTTCAATTCACTCTACTTACTGCCTGAACCTGCAACTACTTGCAGCAATGTCCGTGGTGGTATACATGTGCCTCAAAATAGGCAAGAAACAATGGTGACATAATTAACAACCTGTCTCTTTGCGTGTGTATGTCATTTTGCCGATTTTGACCATTAATATAGACACTGCTTTAATTTGCTTTTAAACAGCAACATATTCTTTAAAATGATACATGCCATAATGTTGACTTAACCCCACCGTTCTATTCACATAGCAAAATGGATGGTATTTACATTTTTTTTTAAAAAAAACTAAATCTTTTCATAATTACAGCCCTGTAATATAAACATTCAATAATCTTAAACGTAGGTTAATTCTAGAGTAGATCTCCAAATAGAATCAGTGCTTCTACAACACATTAAGATAATTTTCTATATATAATTACTGTTTATGTTATAACTCAAAATAGAAATATCTATTTATATTTAACTAAATAAAAAATCATTTCATTGAATGAAAAATAAGCTGCTCTATTCTGCTCAGTAATTTTGTGACTTTATCCCTTCCCATCAGTCATGACCTTTTCAAGTTTATTGCTGCATAGTTTGTAACTGGGAATTGGGGAGGGGGAAAGGGATAATTAGAAGTTGCAGTATCTAAAGATGATAAAATTGATTAGTAAGCAGGTTCTTCTCTTCTTGTACTTAATCCATCAATTATCTTGTGTCTAATTGCAAGAAAGAACCCCCACTGGAATATCTTTCAAGCATCACTTGTCTTCAGAACAGCTTGTGAGTGCGCCATTGCTGAAGGTTTTTAAGAAGAGATTCGACAGCCATGTCAGGAATGGTATACAATCTCCTGAGTGGGCAGAGGTTGTAATAGAATAACTTCTAGGTCCCTTCCAGTTCTGTTATTCTGCTACTTCCCATGGGGGGGGGGGAGAGAGAAGAAATTACATGTAGTAATTTCTAATGGGTCTTCCCAGGTTATAAGGCAATGCCTAGATATCTCAAAGGAGTCACTGAGTAGCTAAATGGGACTCAGATAAAATGGTGTCTCAGGGACATTATTCACTGATCTCCTTCAGCCAACTGTAGACAGCAAGCTAGTAGTCCTCTCTGAAGGACTGAAGGATTATTAAGGAACAGGAGGCACAAATTAAGAACTCAGGCAGCTTCACCAAATCAGCATTCAGATATGAACAACAAATATCACCCCAAGAAATTACTGACAGGTATGGACCTGAACTTGACTGCCCAAAGCAAACACATTTCTATCATTCACTTAGAACCAGTTACACTATGTCCAAATCATCAGATAGAATACTGAATGCTCAGTATTCCTTCCTGTATTAGTGATACAGGAAGATTACAACACCCTGATTAAAAATGCTAGTTAGGAAGATCATGAGGCTAGAGGCAAGAATTAAGAGAGGTGCTGGAAGCCAAGTTCTCTACCATACTGAATAACACTCATCCAAACCATCACTGGTATGATAGTATATGCCACATCTGACATCTTTGGACTACCTTGCTATTTGCAGAGTGACAGATAATTTACCCAGTTCATTGGCACCTTGTTCTACTTTGGAGCTGGTCATTAGTCATCGGCCTGGTTTTTCAACAGTGACAAAGATGAATGGTTGATGCTTAAGCATTCCCAGATTGAAATATTATTTCCTATCCTTGAGTAGCAGTCCCCAACCTTTCTGAGTTGATGGCCCAGGCGGGGAGGGGTGGAGGTGCATTACACGTGTGAACAAGTGCCCATATGAACAGGGACACAAGCATATACACGAATGGGGCCATGATTGCGTGCACAATGCAAACAAGGCCACAAGTGCCTGCACAATGCTGTGGCAACACTAGCACCCGCGCAATGCCATGATGCTAGCACGAGTGGGGATGTTGCACTCACAGCAACGCTAGCTTGAGTGGGGGGGTGCACTTGTGACGCTAGTGCCCGCATGTCGCCGTGATGCTAGCGTGAGTGTGGCGGTTGAGCACTGACCAGCCACTCATGTGGCCCAGTGGCCAACAGCCCACGGCCCAGTAGCGGGCCACGGACCATAAGTTTATAACTTATTATAAATACTCTAGTGACAAACAGGCAGTAAAAACAACACATCAAGTGTGGCTTTCTCAATCAATCAACACTCCCCCCCCCAAAAAAAAGTCAGGATTCTTTTAAAAGCCCTAAAAATAGCCAAATGAGTTGAATCTCATCCCAATCATATTAGATTTTGTGATTTTAGCTTGAATCAGTTATCTGCAGCCAACAAATTATTGCATCATCTATGAATAGTGCTTCGGGTATTTTCTTAAATTTATTACTGCGGATATTTTAGTGTTTCATTATATGTTAATATTTGAATGATTGTGATTGTGGTTAGTTGCTGATCTGACAGCACATATATATAATATAGCGAATAACTGCTATACTGTAAATTATACGGCTCTATGAAATAAACTTACTATGCTCTGTGGGGAAACTTTCCAGGCCGTGCAGCTTATATGGTAGCAATATTTTTGATAGTGGCACGTACAGTATCAGTAACTGATTGATACGTGTTCATCAGAAAAACTAGATTATTTATTTTTTATTGTACGGACATTGTAATTGTGTTTAATCCTCAATAAAACTGTATATGATTATCCAATGAAAGAAAAAAAAATAGTTTTTAATGAATGGTGCCATGCCCAGCAAGTACCAAATGCCCTGGAAGCCTCAACAGAGAGGCATGAAACAGCCTCTGCCCTCCATGAAAGGCCAAAAACTTCCAATGAAGCTGATCTCCTCTAAGAATCTGCTCAATGTTTTTAACACATGGAAGTCAACTTTTATATAAAAGGACTGAGCAGAAGAAAGTAAAGGCACTTTTAGTACAAAGCCAGCATTCCAACGCCAGCAAGCTCTTTTCGTGCGCCAAAATTTTGATCATGTGGCCGTAGGAGCAGTAGCCATAACTTTTGAGCAGGGATAGTACCTTGACTTATGAATGAACAGTCCCAAGTCGAGGACAACCTATAGCACTATACAAAAGATGTTCCAAAACTTGCTGATGCAT